GATGTTCACCTGCACATCTGCTAATGTGGTATATGCATCCGCTGTTCCCGTTGTGGCCTCCTCTACATCGGGGAAACCAAGCGGAGGCTTGGGGACTGCTTTGCAGAACACCTGCGCTCGGTTTGCAATAAACAACTGCACCTCCCAGTCGCGAACCATCCCCCTCCCATACCTCAGATGACATGTCCATCCTGGGCCTCCTGCAGTGCCACAACGATGCCACCCGAAGGTTGCAGGAACAGCAACTCGTATTCCGCTTGGGAACCCTGCAGCCCAATTGTATCAATGTGGATTTCACAAGTTTCAAAATCTCCCCTCCCCCTACCGCATCCCAAAACCAGCCCAGCTTGTCCCCGCCTCCCTCACCTGTTCTTCCTCCCACCTATCCCCTCCTCCCACCTCAAGCCGCACCCCCATCTCCTCCCTACTAACCTCATCCTGCCCCCTTGACCTGTCCGTCCTCCCTGGACTGACCTATCTCCTCCCTAACGCCCCACCTACACTCACCTTTACTGGCTCCATCCCCGCCTCTTTGACCTGTCTGTTTCCTCTCCACCTATCTTCTCCTCTATCCATCTTCTATCCGCATCCCCCTCTCTTCCTATTTATTTCAGAACCCCCTTCCCCTCCCCCATTTCTGATGAAGGGTCTAGGCCCGAAACGTCAGCCTTCCTGCTCCTATGATGCTGCTTGGCCTGCTGTGTTCATCCAGCTCTACACCTTGTTATCTCAGATTCTCCAGCATCTGCAGTTCCTACTATCTCTCCCCAAAATATTGTATTTATTTTGGAATGACTTGATGGTTAACAATTAGCCAATTTCAATTTTTTCTTTCTGTCCATGATTAGCTGAATAGTAAATGAAGGATATAGGTTCACTTGCTATTCAGCTGTTTATTCACATCATTTGACACTTTTGATCACCTGCAAAGACTTGTTATCACCTGCAAAGACTCTGTTGACACTTCACTCACACTATTTGTACTCATCTGTTGACAATCAATTACCTGGAATTTTCTTGCCATTATCTCTCCGCCTACATGTTCTGTGCCTGTGTGCTTCCCTCCGCTACACCTGATGAAGCAGCAGCACTCCAAAAGCTTGTGACTTCAAATAAACCTGTGGGACTATAACTTGGCATTGTGTAACTTCTGACTTTGTTCACCCTCGTCCAACACTGGCACCTCCACACCAAAAGAGTTCCACAGAGCAATTATTCACTTAGACTTCATTTGACAAAACCACACAAACAGAACCAAACCAAATCACACAAAATGTAGCAGGCTCAATGATGGAGGCACACCTCTCAGGCCTCATTGTCTTAAACACATCTCAGCAATAATGTCTCCTGGGCTCAAAATAAAGCAAAATAAGCTTTCATAAAATAATGGAAATTATAACAGAGCAGGAGATCTCTGAGTAACAGTAACTCTCTCCTATGCCCCACTTGACTTCCTATCCTTTTATGTTTCTTCTTTTCAAATATTTCGGGGCGGCACGTGGCTCAGTGGTTAGCACTGCTGCCTCACAGCACCAGGGACCTGGGTTTGATTCCAGCCTCGAGTGACTGTCTGTGTGGAGTTTGCACATTCTCCCCATGTCTGCATGAGTTTTCTTTGGGTGCTCCAGTTTCCTCCCACAGTCCAAAGATGTGCAGGTTAGGTGGATTGGCCTTGCTAAATTGCCCCTAGTGTTCAGGGATGTGTAGGTTAGGTGGGTTATAGGGGGATGGGTCTGGGTGGGATGCTCTGAGGTTCATTGTGGACTTATCAGGCCAAAGGGCCTGTTTCCACACTGTAGGGATTCTATGATCTTTTTTCCCTTGGTTTTTATTCCAGTCTACTACTCAGTATTCAGCAGTGATGACATAATCAAAATCTTACTAACCCACAATGTAAACACCTTTCTGCTCCTTTTCCTCTTGGTCCCTCCCCTGCTGTGCACCATTGGAAAGAATGTTTTTTTAACTATTTTTCCCTGGTAAAGTCCCTTTGTTTCACTCGTTTCTCTATTGCAGCTCCTCACTTAGCATTGGTCTCACTTCCACTTTTTATTTACCTGTCTCTCTGCGCCACTACTCAAGCTCTAAAAGTTCTCTAAGCCTTCTCCCCACCCTCGTCACCCTCTGACCCAGTCTCTTTACAGCAAAATCATCAACCGCTGTCCAAGTCCCTGTTCTCAATTCGATTTCCCCTGTCTGCTTTTTTTGAGGGGCGGAAAGGTGTTAAAGGATTTCTGGGTAGGAGTGACATCACCGTGAGTTAGCCATTTCGCTGTGGTTACATATTACAAAAGCAGAGATGTTCCTGTGGGCAGAAAATTTAAAGCATGAAGATCTCCCAGGATGAAGTACCCATCCAATCCAGGAGAGTTAGCAACCCTAGCTGAGAGTCACAATGTATTTACAGGTTGAGACAGCTTGGCCATGGATATTACCAGATATGTTAAGAGTATACTGGCTAAGTGTACAAAAACTGGAAAATCTACATTTGATGCAAGACAACAAGGTGCAGAGCAGTGCTAACCATTGAGCCACGTGCCGCCCCAAAATATTTGAAATTTCTGAGGAAGGGTCTAGGCCTGAAACGTCAGCCTTTCTGCTCCTGTGATGCTGCTTGGCCTGCTGTGTTCATCCAGCTCTGCACCTTGTTGTCTCGGATTCTCCAGCATCTGCAGTTCCTACTATCTCTACATTTGATGCAACAGGATTGCTTTCTAGTGCAATCTTCAGAAATTACATTTGTTGGCTATGGTTAGATTAGATTAGATTAGAATAGATATTGTCACATGTATCGAGTTCAAGAGCACAGGAATGCAGTGAAAAGTGTACAGAGTCACCATTCTCCGGTCCCATCTTCGAGTACAATAGTTAGAATTAAAGACAAGAGCCGAAATTAAGGGAACAGAAAGAAAAGAGAAAGAAAATGCCCAGATCTCTGCCACTGCTGCCATGAGACTTGAGCTGGGCTTACTAGTGCAGTCTGCGATGGACCACCAATGCTGGGGGGCTGCCACTGCTACAACCACCGCTTCTCCACCATCAATGTCACCACGTTGAGTCCTCCACATCGCCACCACCTGCGCTGGACCCATCAAGGTCGAAGTTGCTATGCGACGGCGCCCATCACTTGCCGACGCCATCTCGGAATCAATTGAAATATCAGAATTCACATCCTTCCTGAACAAATGCAAGAGTGTAACCCTTTGAACCAGCACTGACATCAGAGCCGCTGTCGATGCCAATGCTGCAGCCACTGTCACCACCTCAGGTCCTGGGCTGGGCCCAATATCAAAGTCAACACTCTTCCACGCCGTTTCTTGCCGCTGGACCCAAACTCACTGCCGGCGCCGATGTTGCCGGTTGTGCCGCAGGCAAGGACCGCAAGGGCAAAAGGTAAGAGAGAACCGTAGAGAAAAGTGGAAAGAAAAGACGAAAAAAAAGAGAAATAGACAGGAGAAAGCAGGAGCCCGAATGTTGCTACTCAGCTGCCACCATCTTTGATAAAATGAACAACAGTGTTTACAATTCAGAGTGTTTTGAGAGGTACAAATAAACTAAAAGGCACTCTGTAAACACAAATCATTTGATTCTCTCAGCATTGTTAAGGTAAATTGATGCTTTACTTCCCTCTAGTGGTTTTACAGTCTATAACTGTGAACTGAAAGCTGGAGTCATGATTTACCCACTAATACTTTAGTCATGAAATAGATGAGACTGAAATAGTGCTTTATTAGTAGAAAATGACTTTGGATTATTGGGCTATATGTAGCACTTCTCTGAACGTAATTGTAACTTTGTTAAAAGGCAGCCACGGTTAGTTTGTGCAGAGTTATGCAGCAAAACAAACAAACTGATAATTAACATCTAAGTTAGATCCAGTATTTGCCAGATAGATAAAGAACAGGATGTTGAAATGTGCAATAAGGGGAAAAGGGAAGGGAGAATGGAGAATGGGTCGGAGGGATAGGAGGGTAAAGGAAAGAAGAAGGGAGGCAGGAAAAAATAGGTCCTGTTGTAATTTACAGGTGAACAATAGCGGTCTTAAGCAGTTGATGGGCATCTTGGTGCCACAACATGATGAAGAAATCAGTCTGTGAGTGAATAAATTATTGAGTTTTGGTCAGACTTTATCAGGAGTGGCTGAGTTCAATTTCAGCTGTCACACATCAGGACAGATCTTGAATTTAGGATGTCGAGGATTTGTCTAACCAGAGTAAAAAAAAAATTCCTTCCTCTGGACAGTGGGTTGGGGGTGGGAGTGGTGGCAATGGAATCCTCAAAAAGTGGGAAATAATTTTAAAGTCATCACTAGGCTAGGTAGGAGTGAAATTGAAAGAGAATGTGCATGCAAAAGCCCATAGACATGTGAATAGTCACTGCAGAAAAAGCTGTGAGTGAATTGAAATTTTCTAGTTTGAGAGTGATAGATTTTGTTTAGTTCAGGATATCTGGAGATATGAACAGAGTTGGATAAATAGAGTTGAGATGCAGCACGCCCGCAAAAGGCAATTCTGAGATTGAAAGGCCTATATTCCTGTTCCTAGGTTCCTATTCACCATAAACAAAAAAAAACTAAAAGAACTGTGGATGCTGGAAATCAGAAACTAAAACAGAAACTGCTGGAAAAACTAAGTGGCTCCGGCAGCATCTGCAGAGAGAAAGCAGATTTAACATTTTGCTTCTGGTGACCCTTCTTCAGCAATTTATGTTTTTGTTCCTGTTTATCAAACTCACTTTCACAGGTTTCGCCAACGATAGCAGTAAAGAAAAGTGACCAGGTCAGTTGGCGGCCAGCTTTATTGTCTGCCTTGCATTCCTGCCATCACCTCCCAGGGAAGTTAATATAAAATACTGTAATGTTTTATATAAAAACTGTTTAGAGAACTCTCATGTGTCGAAGTCCAAATCAAAAAGTTGACAGTTCAACCGAAAATCAATACCTAGGCATACGTCACATTATATCAAAAATATTAATTTTACCAAATATACATAATTCTTACGTTTTTTACTTTTAAAGGCGGTGATCTTTTCTTTTCTGAAGTCAACAGAGCATTAGAAGGTGACCCGATGTTCATCTTTTCACTAACTGTTCGCAGCTTGACTTTGTATATTGGATCTATGTCACTCTCAAGTGAATCGATCTCTGTGACCTGCAGTCCTTTATAGAATGAAATATGCCAGTGGCAGCTAGAAATTATAATTACTTGCATATAAGACAGATAAAGAATAAATAGCAATTAGCACATATGTTTGAGTCAGGTAATGGTTACAAATTTGGCTTGCGTGTCAAAAAAATATATTTTTCTGAAGTAAATCATTATTTACTTCCTTTGATCCCTCTCACTTTCATTCATAATGATTAATAATCATTGCAGCTCCACAAGAAAATGTTTAATAATTTAAGGAAAAATCAAATGAAAAAGCCTTTCATTGTTTGTTGGTTAAATATTATGATTTCTACTCCCTTTGTAACCTACTATCAAGCATCTACAAATACCATGTTGGAATAATTAGAGGAACCTGGAATTATGTGCTAATTTCCCATCCTTCTTTGTGACTCTTTATGCCACCCACAACCTTCTCAGATTTCACTTCTGGTTCATTAGTTTATGTCCTTTAGGGAAGGCGATCTGCCAGCCTTACCTAGTCCTGTAAGGTTAATCTGATCAACAGCGTGGTTGATCCTTAACTATCCTGCATTGTGGCCTAGCAAGCCACAGTTCAAGGAAACACAATAAATGTTGGCTTTGCAAGTGAAACCCAAATCCCATTAAATAACAAAATAAAACAATTGTGCATGGAAATGACCATGTGAGGAATTCTGAACAGAAACTACTGGTTTAATTTACAGTTCATTAGTGAGGCTTACCTGTCTTAGTGGCATGTGGTTGCCTTGGATCAGCTGACGATGCAGTGTTATCTATGTTTGAGTTACAGAGAACCTTATATGATGTGCTGTCCGAAATAGCTTGGCTTTCAATTTCTGAGGTACATGGTATATTGAGATTAGGACCAACAGCAAATGGTAGATCTTCTGTTTCAGTGCCACATGGGATGTTGGGCTGAGAAGTTGCTGAAAAGCAAGCATCTTTTGACCTTGTACTGTGGCTGTTTTCTCTCATCTCCACCACCCCATTGTTGGTTGAAGGCTGGAATTGACAAAGATATAAGCCAAGTGCCTTACTCAGTAGAAGATTGAATCCAAGAGTTAATATAACTCAGAAAGCTTTATAATTAGTTTGCTCGACTCACTGGGGTCACCAAGGTTAAAAGGTTCACTCTGTATACATTTTTCACTGCAGGGTGATACCACAGTCTAGAGAGAGTCAGGCTTGCGTGCTGCTCTGGATCTTTGGCCAGTTGTTTAGAAGCTATTAGGGTCTCTAGTCCTTAGCCTTTAAACCCTCTCAACTCCAACCCCCTTAATGCCCTTCACAAGCTCCATGTAACACACTATTTTTCCTATCACTCCTATATTCTCTTATAGTCATCCGCTTACTCACCAAGTATTCACCATAGACAGACATCAGGGGTCGCATGGAGCTAAAAAAAACTTCGAATAATCTAAGATAGCTCTCAGTCATACATATTTAATAATGAAAAATATCTTTTTGTGAAACTTATTCAAAGCTTTTCAACCCATTAACTTTGCAATCTGTTTGAAATTTGAACAAACCGCTGTTCAGATTTCACACCAAAGAGAATACACCTTTCATAGCCTGTATAAACTGTCAACCAAACTATGAACTCAGAAACCCGTGATGAGGTAATTGTACCTTTTGAAGCTGAACCAAGCAATCTTAATGCTATAATAATAGCCCTTGGAGAAATGTCAGCAAAGAACTCTATTGAAACATTATAGCCTAATGAGGCTTTGTTTCTAATGTACAGCAGATGCTGGTTAGTCGATGTATTCTAGCTGAGGCTCATTTTTGAAGTCATACCGATAGACTCAGACTGTTTTTGTTAATGTTTAAAGAGCAGGGAATTTAAAAAAAATCTTCAGCTCATGAAACTTAAACCATTTGTATTATCCTTCAAGAAGGGTTAAATCTACTCCATCAATTCATGATTTCCTATATTGTAAATTAAGCCATTTCAGCAGCCAAAATAGAATTGAATTCAGCATTAAGTTCAAATGGCTATGCTGAGTTTGGTTTTGCTCCTTTGTGATTTGCAACATGATCTGTTCCTTGCAAAAATCAGATCTGTTGGTAATAGGATTGGGACTTCCTTATCCAGCTGACAAGTTATTTATATTTTTTGGCCTCCCAGCCACCATCAGTTCTGAGGAAGGGTCACTGGACCCGAAACATTAACTCTGTTTTTTTCTTCACAGATGCTGCCAGACCTGCTGAGCTTTTCCAGCAACTTTTTTTTTTGTTCCTGATTTACAGCATCCGCAGTTCTTTCGGTTTTTAAGTTATTTATATGGGTCTGTGGAGTCTTCCCAGTTCTGTATAACTCCAGCTGATAGTGTAAATCCTGGGCTAGGCCCACCAGAAGCCTTCACTAGTATATTACTTATACAAAACCATTGACCACGTTAGAATTGAGAAGATGATGGCCTAGTGATATTATCACTGGACTATTAATCCTGAGACCCAGTTAATGTTCTGGGGACCCGAGTTCGAATCCCACTATGGAAAATGGTGGAATTTGAATTCAACAAAATACTGGAATTGAGAATCTCATAATTCATTGCTGATGGCCAGTAAAAGCTTATCTGGTTCACTAATGTCCTCCACGAAAGGAAATCTGCCACCCTTACCTGGTCTGGCCTACATGTGACTCCAGACCCATAGCAATGTGGTTGACTCTTAACTGCCCTCTAGGCAATTAGCAATGGGTAATGAATGCTGGGACAGCTAGCAATGCCCATATTCATGAATGAATAACAAAAAAGCCATCTTGGAAGGCAAAAACACAACTTTATTCCATGATCCATACTCTCCTAAAAATGTTTCCCTGGGTTCTTCCATACTCAACTCAGACCAACAATGAGATACTCATAAATTTCTTTGTAAACAAAATAGATTATCATTCATCTGTCCCTTTGTATACTCCTTTTTCAAATAAGCCACATCCTGTCAGTCTCCTCTTTAGCCCTTCAACTGTAATCTCTATAATTTGCCCCCAATTGTCCCTTGCTCTTCAAGATAGTTTGAGCTACGAAAACCTTATCCCTAGACACCATTGCCACTAAATTCCTAATCATCTATCTTCCTTCACCAGACCTCATTGTAAATAAATCCCTTTCATCAGGCACTGGGCCCTACTTTTGAATAAAATCATCACATTTTCCCTTAAATCAGTGTCAGATTCCAATCCAGCCACTTTTTCTACCAAAATGTTAAAAAAGCTAAAATGTTCTTAAGCAAACTTGCAATTCTCAAGGGCAACTATGAATGGGTAATAAACGCTGGTCCAGCCAGTGATGCTCAAATCCCATGAATGAATAAAAAAGAAAATATTTTCATCCATTAATATTGTATTTGCCACACTACATTGGCTCTTGAAGTGTGCAACTTAAATTTCTTGTTTCAGTATCTTCATTACAACAAAGCCTAAATTTCTTCCTATATCTGGAAACCCTTCCAAACCCTCTGAATTTCCTATATCTATGACTATAGTCACTTATGCACCCCACCTTCCCTTTGTGCCACTAAAATCCCACTTCCTGGAATTTTCTCCAAAATTCTCTCCACCTTGCCACATCCTTCCCCTTCTTCTGAACCAACGTTATGGTCACCCTGTCTGATTTCTAGTTCATTGGCTTGATCTTGTTTTTCCCATGCTTCTGTGGGTTATTGATGCAAAGGAATGCTACCTGTGCAGTCAATAGTGGAGATGTTGACCAATTGAAGCGTAGTTATCACCAACTTAGCACAGACATGGGATACAAGCATTTATCTGAAGTAACATTTCCGTTTAAAAATCTTGTTGTTGTTATCTTAGCAGAGCTATTAATCCCATTTAAACTGAATGTCTTAATTTCTCCACTAAAATTAAGCATACAATTAAAAGAATCATTCATGAGCTACTGTCCTAGTATAATTTGTGAGACTATATTTTTATCATCTTTTATTATTCATTCACAGGATTCGGAGTCATTAGAAAATCCAGCACTTATTGCCCACCCCTTATTGTCCTAAAGAATGTGATGATAAACTATATTCTTGAATCCAACAGGCACTGAGGTTACTGAGGTTTCAGACATATTGTTGTGTGTCTGGCATCACACATACACCATAAAAGGCGAGAGCAGCTTTCCTTCCCTAACACAAAAGGTTTTTAAAGTGACCTGACTGGTCACCGTTATGATATTAACTTTAATTTATTTTAGATACTAATTACTTATTTTCTTCAGTTGGGGATGCAATGGCCTAGTGGTATTATCTCTGGACTGTTAACTTAGAGAGCCAGGGAATGTTGTGATGATTTGGGTTCGAATCTCACCACAGCAGATTGCAGAATTTGAATTCAATAAATATCTGGAATTACAGAGTCTAATGATGTCCCACAAATCCATTGTTGATGGCTGCGAAAACCCATCTGGTTCACTAATGTCCTTTAGGGAAGGAAACTGCCATCCTTACCTGGTCTGGCCAACATGTGACCCAAGACCCACAGCAACGTGATTGACTCTAACTGCTCTCTGGTCAATTAGAGATGGACAATAAACGCTGGCCAAGTCAAACGATGCCTTTCTCCCGTGAGCGAATAATAAAAGTATTGGCCTATTGGATTATTAACCATGCAGCGCAAACATGATGTTATCATCCTCCTTAAAATAAACAAGCATTTGGCTGGAATTTTCAGCCTGTGAACAACATGGGCTGTGATGAGAAAGTTGGAAAAATCATTTGAGATGTTCAGCAATGACTTTCTTGATGTGGAGACCATATTCCCCATTGCCAAGGTCAGGATTCTGCCTTGACTTGCCTTTCAGTACAAATACAAAGCCAAGCAGTTTGTCATGGTTGTCAGCAGTCATCAGTCAAGGAGGTGGACATGTTGCTATACAGCACCTATATGCCTTCTCCACCGTGGACCTCCATGTACAGGTCCAATGCAACACATGTGCTTCAACTGAATGGCCGTGTCTCAAAGTCTAAGAGGAGTAATACTCACTCAAATTAAGAGAGAGACCCTTCAGCCACAGGGGCCCCAGCACAATAAGTCAAAGACATCATTTGATATCAGTTTTGGGAGACTGGGCACAGTCAGTCCAATGTTTGGGTGATCATAGGAAGCATTCCTTGTAAGGATGAGGTTCCAAATGTTAAGTTCTCCACCATTTTGGCCCTTTCTGCCATATTGCTGGCACTTTTCTCCTGGAGTGAGACAAAGGCAGGGCTTGGGTGAGATGAAAGTGGGTAGCATAGCTGTCAGTGCTGATGCAGCTGGGGGAAAGAAACAGGGTGTCCTAAGAGAGTGAATAGAGATGCAGAGGTCATGTAGGATTAGAAGCTTTGGGGGGCTAGGATCGGCGAGAGCAAGTGAGGGAAGTTGTTGCTTGCGACAGTCAGGGTGTTAGAGCATGAGTCTTGATGGGAGGTATGTACAGTAACAGTAATAGAAAGAGCGTGAAGTAGCAGACAGAAGATGGTGGCACCTCCCTTTTGAAGCAGAGAAGCTCATAACCTTTTTTTTTACACTGCTGGGAATTCCCTCAGACCGTGGCGACTGCACTGTCCCGATGATAACCTTGGACCAGGCTGGCAGGATTCGGTTTATGGTCACCGCTGCTTGCTCTGGGCGAAGAGGATGGCTCTAATCTGCACCACCTTATCAATCAGGAACTGCAGTTCCCTTTCTACAAAATGAGGCATCAATTTCCCCCTGTCTGACATACCCAGGACAAATGTCACAAAACATGCAGGGCAGCTCCAGCACTTGACAGGATGCACAACAGTCCTGCCTTTTAAATGTGGTAATGATACCAGATATCTTGGCAATAGTGAGTACTTCTGCCTTCAGTGAGTGGGTGAATCAGGCTAATGTTGGCAAATAGGGTGTCATGTGGGTGTGGTACAGGATTAATGAAGCATGTTTGGGATAATAGCACAAGAAAATCCCCAGCCATTTTGTGAATAGAAACCCTCCGTGAAATTCAATAAAAATGACACTTAGGTAATTTTTGGTAAGATTCGGTCCTTTATATTGGGAGAAATATTCCTTTTCCAATGATTAGGATTTCGAGTGATGTTGTCTGGTTACTATAGTAAAACCAATTCCATTGATAAGCAGATTTTTACTCTACCTGCACTGGTGATTTTCTGCCAGGTGTAAGGAATTTTGGTCTCACACTACGGAATCCTTTTGCTGCGAGACTGTTTTGGGGTTTTCCTTTCGGAAAACTTGGATTCCAAACTACAAGATAAAGAGAAAATGAAAAATGCATTTGAGTACGTTGGTTTGAACACCACACTGGACCAAGCCTTCAAAGGGAAAACTGAAAACACCCTCAGCCACTGACGAATTTCTCAATAGCTTTCTTTTCAAAGGTTTTTCCAATAGCACTTGCTTGACTTGTTACATTGCGTACAGATTCTCAGAAGCATAGTCACTGGCGCTAAAGTGAATTCAGAGCAAGTTCAATAACCAGCATTGAATGAATATCTTAAATCTGTCATGGTTACTACAAAGATCATATATAGAAACAGACAAAGATTTATGAAGGAGGCCCGTTGGCCCATTGTTTCCATGCTAGCTAATAATGAGCCATCAATTAACTCTACTTTCCAATTCTTAATCAGTAAAACTGCAGGTAAAGCACCTCAAAAGCAGATCAGAGACTTTTTTTTTAAAACGCATGAAGGATGTTTGCTTCTACTGTCATTTCAAGCATTGAATTCCTGATCTTCAATAGCCTCTGGTTGAAAAAAAACTATGTACTGCTTTTTAATGCTTCCATTAACAACTTTCAATCTATGCCTCCAGTCACAATTTTCTCCACCACAGAAATGGGTCTTTCCTCTTCATTCTATTTAGATCTGTCAGAATTCTGCACATTTTGTTGAATCTCCCCTTCGCCTTCTCTTTTCCAAAGAAAACAATCCCACTTTAATCAATCTTTCCTCAAACCTGCAATTGTTCATTTTTTTTCAATAAACTTTAAAGATAGCTCAGTTACTTGCCGCAGGGAGAGAAAAGTTAGATATATTTCTACAGTGACCAAGTTAATGACCGTAAAAATTTGCAAGATGAGAGATAAATCTTGCAATGCTTGCTGACTCCAGCCTCACTCTCAAGGGAACATCTTTTTCCAGATGCCTTAAGGCCCCATCAGCTCTATTTCATCATGATCAAACTGACAATCCCAATTACGCTGGTTGATTTGTTTAATTCAAGGGAGATTACATATTCTTGTATTTGTTAATTACTATGTCAATAAACATTGGTGCAATTTCACTTCAACTGGATGGTCAGTATTATGTCTGGAGGGAAAAATAAGCTACATTGAGTGAGAAAACATAAAATGATGTCTAGAGAGTCAATAGAGTACAATATTACACCTACTTCTATATATAACCTGAATGTTCAATACCATTAACCACTCAGTAGAAACTGTAATGGATCGCATTAGCTGTGTAAATGTTACAGCTAATGTGGGATTGAAAGATATTTTGAAATTGCACTGCATCTGTAGAAATTGAGCCTCTAATAATTAGTATTAAATTAATTTCTGGGATAGAAATTGGTTTAGTTCATTTTTGGTTCAGTACAATGCAGTGCATGAAGAGCAAGTGGCATTTTTGTATTAAAAAATTGAACACTTGGGTGATAGTTAAGAGATAGAGTTCTGCAAGGCTGCATCTGTGAATAAACCTATTATCAAGGAAAGAAATCATGTGACAGCAGCTGGTGACCCCAAACCCACCTGAAACAGAGATTCAGTCCTCATCTGTATATTGCTAGCCATTTACAGACACCAATTGTAATTCCACTAAAGGAACAGTTGGACCAGTTGCTTCTCTGGTGTTTACATAGGTCCTGCGAGGTGGAGAAAGCCATAACTTGGAGAGGGAATCGTTGAAAGGGAATGAACAGAGAATGGCAATGCAATTCTGAACTGCTATTGTGTCAGGATGAGCACTCCTACCCCTGCTCCACCTACAGGCAAATAATCTTTTAAAGCATTACACCTTTATAGGTGCTGGCCTCCAGCAGTCATTTTAAAGAGTCCTGGTTAGGCTGAATACAGTCATTAATAGAGTTGTAGACTCACACAGCACAGAAATAGACCTTTCAGCCCACTATATCTATGCTGACCAATAGACACCAAACTACATTAATCCCATTTATCTGCACTTGGTCCATAGCCTACTAAGCTGATAATCCTCATCTAGGTGTTTTTACATGTTGTGAATGTGTCTGCCTCCACCACACTCCCAGGCAGTTCCATATTTCCACCACTTCCTGGGTCAAAAAAAATTCCTCAGATCTCCTCTAAACCATTTACTCCTCCCCTTAAACATATGCCCACTGGTCTTAGACACATCTGCTATGGGGAAAATATTGTCATGATCTACTCTGTCTATGCCTCTTTTAATTTTGTGTAACCTCAATCAGATCCCTCCTTCAGCCTCCTCTGCTCCAAGGGAAAAAGAACCCAGCCTTTCCTCACAACTGAGACTTTCCACTCCAGGCAATATCCTGGTGAATCTCCTCTGCACTCTCTCCAGTGCAATTGTATCCTTTCAATACTGTAGTGATCAGAACTGTACACAGTATTCCTAACCAATGTTTTATGAAGGTATAACAGTTGTAACATTGCAAAAATTTCCTTGCTCTTATTTTCTACACCCCAGCTAATGAAGGAAAGAATCCTGTTTGCCTTCTTCACCAACCTGTATACTTGTGCTGACACCTTCATGGATCTATGAGTTTGTACACCAAGATTCATTTGTTCCTCAGTACTCCCTAGAGATCTACCATTCATTGTGTATACCCTTCTCTTATTAGACATCCCAAAATACATCACCTCCCACTCAACAGGGTTAAATTCCATCCGCCATTGTTCTGCCCAATTTAGCAGCTGATCCAGATCAGACTGTGGCCTGAAACCATCCTCCTCCTTCTCATCAGCTCCCCAGTTTTTGTATCATCTGCAAATTTACAAATTAAACCTCCTACATTCACGTCCAAATTGTTAATGTGCAGAACAAACAGTGAGGATTCAAGCCACTGAACCTTATGGTACACCACTATTCACAGGTTTCCAAATCCAAAAATAATCCTCTACCATCACCCTTTGCCTCCAATGTGTAAGCCAATTTTGGATCCATTTTGCCAACTTGACTTGGATCCCATGGATTCTTACCTTTTGGACCAGCCTTCCATGTGGATTCTTGTCAAAGGCCTTACTGAAATCCAAGTAAACCACATCAACTGCATTACCCTTATCAATATGTTTAATCACCATTTCAGAAAACTCAAGTAAATTAATCAGACATGATCTCCCTCTAACAAATCTCTGCTGACAATCCCTGATCAATCCCTGCCTTTCCAAGTATTGATTAATCCTGTCCCTCTGAATTTGTTTCAGTAATTCCTTATCACTGATGTCAGACTAACTGCCTATCACTGCTGCCATTCTTGAACAAAGGAACCACATTAGATATCTTCTTTACCTGTGGCCAGTAAAGTATTAAATATCGCTATCAGGGCCCTAGCAATCTTTTCCTTTGCTTTCCATAGCAGTGTGGGTTACATCTCATCAGGCCCTGGGGATTTATGCATCTTTCTGTCTGCTAAAACATCTAATAGCTCCTTGTTATGGATCTCAACATGTTCTAGAACTTTACTTTCCCAACTAAAATCCTCAGCTGCAGTGTCTTTCTTCTTTGTTAATACAGATGAGAAATATTCATTTAAGGCCTCAGACACAAACTCAACCTCTACATAGAATGGTTCTTTAATCTCTGCAAATGAAATTGATTATCTTGAATGCATCAGGCGTTAAATTAAAATGAAAACGTTTGGTTCATAGACTTTAAAAACAGAACAAGACAATATGAACATAAATGTAATAATACAGTAGAATAATAGTGAGAGGAGCAGGTTAACATTGTAACAGCAATGAAACACACCTGATTGCATCTTGTCACTTCAAAGTTCAGCTTCACCTGTAATCAGCAAGCTTTCACAAAATAAAATTAATGCTTATTCTTCTGAATATTTACATGTATACAACAACTTAAAAAGTATCAGTCAGGCAACCCAACACCACCTCCCCAAAATGATCCCCCCACCCCCTACAACTCACCAGTATCCACACAATCACCTCTATCTACCCTTTAATATCAGTGCCTGTGAATTTATTGATTTGTTGAGAGCAGACAGGAATCTTGAAAACAAAGAATTTGCATTTACTCAATGCCTTCAATGGTGTTTTAAGCTAATTAAGCACTTGTAAAATGTTGGACTGTTGTAATATAGGGAAAATGGTAGCTGACGTGCTCCCAGGAATGTTCTTCAGACAGGCAGCAGATGATTGCTCAGATCATCTTTTTGAGGGTGTTGCCTGAAAAATCAACATTGGTCAGGAAAATAGGAGAACTCCCATAGACTTCCTCAGAATGTGTCACGGGATCTTTTATCTTTCACTGAGAAGTCAAAATATGCATCCCAGGATTGCAGCATCCCTACACCACTGTACAAGGGAATAGGGTCATAGAGTCATACAGCACAGAGGAGTAGTGGATAGCTAGTACAGAGAGCTGGTTAAGGCACACTTGCCTACCTCTGACCCATATCCCTCTAAACCTTTCCTCTTCATGAACTTACCCAAATGCCTTTTGAACGTTATAATTGTACCCACATTCACCACTTCCCCAGGATGTTCATTCTATTCACTAATCACCCTCTTTGTTAAAAATTTGCCCCTCGTGACTTTTTTTAAATCTCTCTCCTCTCACCTTAAAAACATGCCCCCTAGTCTTGAAATTCCCGATCCTAGGGAAAAGACAACTACCATTAACTTTGTTTGTACCTCCTATTATTTTATAAACTTCTATCAGGTTGCCTCTCAATCTCCTGTGCTCCAGTGAAAAAATCACAGCCTATCCAGCCTTACTCACACTTTCCACACTCGGCAACATCCTGGTAAATCTCTTCTGAACTCTCTCCAGTTTAATAATATTCTTGGTTGGGTTAATGGAGTATAATCTCGAAACGTGGACTAATAATCTGAGAAATGAGAACAAATGCCTTGAGTGCTGCTACGAAATTTAAATTTAGTGAATTAAGTAAATCTAAAATAAAAAAGCTTGTATCAGTTGCTACCAGATTGTTGCAAATATATATTTGATTTACTATGGGGATGAAAATATCTGTCCTTGCCCACTATTGCCATAATCTCAGTTTAGACCCATTGCAATGTAATTTTCGTCTTAACTGCTTTCTGAAATGGTTTAGCAAATCATTCAGTTCAAATTTCACTTCAAAGTTATTTCATTGTTCAGAAACAGTTTGGGGATTTTTTAGCTCCTGAAAACTACTGTGTAAATAGGTCCTACTTTAAGAGATTCTATTCACTGAACTGACACAAAAAAACAGGTACTGTGTAACATTTCAGTTATTGGTTAAATAGTAACAGTTTGAATTCCACTTACTGATTAACTGCAGTTTCTGTACCCTGATATTTTTTGGCAGTTACATTATGCACTCAAGGTTACAATGAATACAACCTCTTTTTATTAAAATAAAACACCACTCAGAAACCAAAGTAAACCAGGAACATTGTGGCAGGGCTCTGTCAGTGTTGTTTCCTCAAAGCAGGACGTGTTTCAAATCAGAGTTAGTGTAGTTTTAAGTGAAATGCAATAATATGAACAATATGTATTAATTTTATATCTTCATTAATTTAATTTTTGAATGCAAAATTTACCCACACATAGCTGACTGGTTAGAAAGGTAGGGCTTAGGAACAGGAGTATGTCCATCAAGCCTGCTTTGTCATTCACAAGCTGATGACTTATCTGACTGTAGACTTAACTCCACTTTCCTGTATGCTTCCTGTATCCACAAATACACATTTCTGCTACAAGTTGTGATAGCAACTGAAATCAGAAAGGCTGGAAGCTCTTGGAAAGTCAGGTACAGTATCCGTGGAGGGCAACAAAAATCCACATTTCAGACATTCTATTCATGAAAAGGGTTTGTGGTGAAGGACAAATGTTGATTTGACAACTCTGCTTGATTGTATTCCTGGAAGTTTCATCAAATAACATCTTCATATTCTCAATTTGGGCAAACCCAAAAATCAATATTTATAAATGTTAAAAATTGTTTTCTTTTTAAAAAAATTCACAGCACGTTTTCACCCGTGTTGCGGTTAGAAGTGTCCAGGAGATTATACATGAATTCATGGAGATGTCAAGATGATCCTGGAGGGGTTGACATCTGTAAGAAGGTGAGATTTAAAAGATTGCAGCATTAAGGGATGGCCAGGAATGTGAGAATTTAAATCACTGCCCAGTTTGGGTGTTTTGCTCTAAGCTGATGTTGAATTCTTCTTTAAAATAAAATTAATTCTGTTAACATGCAGCATTTTTTCAACTTGCCTCAAACTTCACAGTAGTTAACTTTTACAGAATTTAGAACCTTGAATTAAATGCTGTAATCTAAGTTAGTGAGTGACTGGAATCCAGATCTCAAGCTTTCTCTGCGGTTACACAATGCTTGTTGTAGCTGTTTTGAAGTGTATTCAAACATTTGAGTAAGGATTAAAAAAAAAGATAAAATAAAAACAGAGTAAATATAAAACTCAAATGATAAACTCAAATACTACTTGATTATCTTTAGTTTTGGTACTTAATTTAGAATTATCAAGAACAGTATTGCAAATCATGTTAGCAGCATTCAATTGAAGATCAAGGATTATCAAAAGTAATTTACGTCCCATTGCAAATACAAAACATAACATTAGAAATTAATCTAAAAACTGTGTTAACCGTAATGGTTTGTTCTTGCATTTTCAATTTTAGTTCTTGTCAAGTTATAAACAAATCTACAATTACCTCACATCCCACCTTTCCAAAAATAATGTTTGAGTCAAAATCAATTAGAAAGAAATATAACATTTTATGCTTACCAACATTCGATTTAGGTCTAAAACCACCAAGAGGGATTAATATTCCTTCCTTTTCTAGCACCAAGGGTAAATCAGTTCCTGTTTACAATCATTTACTGTACTTGAAAGTCATTTGCAGTCATGGGAGTAAAGTCAATGAAAGTTAGATAAACAACATGTGTAAACATGGTCACGGTAGGAAGTTTTAACAGAAATTGCAATCCAGGCATCTTAGAGAAGAATGTCAGCATAAATTCCATCAATAGTATTAACCATTCTTAGACAATAAAGTCCATTTTACCTCTTTCTTTTCTTTGCTAAGATTATAAAAACATATACCAGAGCTGAATCAATTGGATCAATAAAATTTACATGTATTTAGTCATACCTGGGAGAAATTAGAAAGCTTTGTAAAGTTGAAATTATAAACCTAGATAGGTTAGCCCAAGTAGTTTTTGGCATTTTCAAAGAATCTAGCAAATTACAAAATAACAATGGAACAAAAATAGGTTGTTTAGGCCTTTGAACGTATTCCACCATTCACTTAAATTATAATCAATTTGATTCCAACTACCCACCCTTTGCCCCATATCCCTTAATAGTACTGGCTCACAAAAATCCAAACAACTCAGTTTTTAAACTTGGTGCAAATAGATTTGACATTGTTTTGGGACTATGCATTAAATCTTACTATTTTTGGTTAAATGTGAATTATGTTGAATATCGTGAGGGGATTCTTGCCGCACAAGAGAGATTTCATACCATATCTTACCAAACTCACCTCTTTATCTATCTGCCCTGCTCCTGTATTATCTCCTCCAACCAAGTCTATTCCTATTTTACCATACACCATTTCCCAGAACAACTCATCATTCAGCAGATATCGGCTGAAAAAAAAACCCTATTATTCCTTGCATCCACATCACATTTGAGAAACGCTGTACACAAGGACACATGGTTGAAATTTGGCATTTCTCTTCAGCAGTTATGTAATGACACAAAGCTGCACTGGCCATGTCACATAGTTGGCATGGTCGGCACTCCCTCACACATCCAACACCATCTGCTCACTCTAATTACTGCTTAGCCAACAGGCCAAACAGTTTACTGTTCCTTAAATACATCCTGTCCATACACCCTCTTTGAGGCCTAATACTCTTTTTCTAGTACCTAGTGATCACTTGAATCAGGTCCAGTAGGGGAACATCACAGACAGGCAAGCATTTGGACACATCCAAACAAAGGATCTATTTTCAGCCAGTGTAAAGGAACACTAAGGACATGATTAGGGTCTGCAGGTCACCCCTACAATACAAACCAATGCTGGCATATTGACCTTGAATGTCCATGATGCTCTTCTATACTCAGCTCTCGTCAACTGGAACTGGGTGTTAACCAGGTCCCATCTGTCTTGTGGCACCTAATGCAGCTGAGCTCTGTCACCTATAACTAGAGATTTCTCCAGCTCAATGTCCTCATCCTCCTACTTAGAAGACTGTTCCCATTCTCGAGGGTCCTCAACACCTTTCACATTGGTTGCTTCAATTGTGCAGACCACTGCATGCCAGGATGGTGTGGCACATTCTGTCCAGACTATATTAGAGGGCTCCCCTCCTAGACCTTCTCCAAGCTGTGGAACTAGACCTTCAGCAGCCTTACTGCCAGCTCCTCCATAACCCTGGTCAGAGCAAGTGCACAAATTTGGTGAAGGTGCCACACTAACTGAGTGGTCAATATATTACAACAAAAGGAAGTTCCTGCAGCACCCCAACCCCACTTTCCATCCCAGACCTACATCAAATGTTCCACTTTCCATTGTACTTACTACAGTCTATCATCATAGTTACATGACATATGAGTTAACATTGTTATCTCAGTGATGCAGAAGTTAGTGGCGATGAATAAAAATAGTTGAATACTAGCTAAATGAGTCCCAATGTTTGTGAATCTTCCAATGGTGCTGTGGGACAAGGGGAACATAGCTAACTGGCATGTTATTTAACTGTGATGACGGACTCTAATGACTGCAGTGGAAAGTGGAAGGTGGAAGTCTGCTCAACATTTTATGTTCCTTTATTCAGTCATGGTAATGTTTCATGCTAGTATGCCACTGTGAACAGGATAGCTATCACTCAGGCAGGCTTAGAGCATTATGTGGCACTAAGGATGTCTATCCTTTGTACCGCCATTCCTTTAGGTGCAACTAAAATAATATTCACTTACTCAGCTGAGGATGAAATGTGAGCATATATTTACAAATGAATGACCATGTTCACAATATTCTGTGGAAGACAAGTGACTGTGGTTTTCCTGCATCTTTGCTGCATCATGGTGCTGAGCACCAATGGCTAAGGTGAGGAAGTGCAGCTCTGTGCATACATCCAGCAGACCCTGAGGATGCTGGACCTGCCTGTCCACGGCAGCCACCAAACGATCCATAGAGACAGCCAAATGTCTGCTTATTATAAACACATGGATCACAAAGGTGATGTTGGTGAAAGACTGTTAATGTTATTAGCTTTTAAATTTCCAGCATTCCTGCATTAAGTGTTTATTTCCCCAATTTCCTCCATGAGTCCCAGGCATACCGCACATACCAGATACAGTCATGCATGGTCCATCCGTCAAATATGGGGTGCTGCTATTGATGACCTCCCTCTTTCACTATATTGCTTTCCTCTCTATGTTCTATTGTCTTTCCACCTTTTATCGTGAGTTGTCCAGCTTCATAAGTATTATCACCATTGTATCCTAGAATTATGCCTACAATCCTCACAATTGAGTTCCCCAGCTGGCCTACTACAGCAGCAATTCCTGACAAACCTCTTTGACTTTCAGTGGACAGACCGTGATCCACAACTAGTCCAATTTTGAGGGACCACCCAAATGATGTATGAACAGACCTCTACCTAATTTCAGTACAGCTTTCCAACTGACTTAATAGCCAATGGGAAGGCTAGTTGCATTGTACCTGCAGGACTGACCGTGACCAATTCCCCAGATTCCAGTGATATGAAATCATTGACCGATGATTGTTTTGCTGGACGTGACTGAGGAATGCTCCCTTAGATTTTGAGAAATGGCTGTTTGGTTGAAGTATGAGGAATATGTTTAT